CTTATTGAATGTGTATTTGGGTTCTCATGTCTGATCCTGTTTTCCTATATACACACTTGACTTCGTTTTTTAACAACTATTTTTACAAATAAATAAATCACAACTAATTATTTTTTTAATTTCAATCTTTTTCTATCATTTTTTATAGTTTAATCGTTGGTTTGCATTGAAAACAATGTTATTTTCTCATCATATTTTACTCCATATTCTGCTTATTCTATCAATTCTTCATTCATTATCATTGACCACAAGTGCCTTATCTGAACAAATAGTTGCCAAAAATATTTCATCACAAAACACTTCACCACAAATAGAGAAGCGCTCCTTCAATGATGAGTCCGACTCTAATCCTTTGCTCATAAAATCTTTTCTTCCACTTCGGACACCCATCCGACCCATTAGGAAGTTATTTAAAACTCTGTTCAGAGCATCTCCTTCTCAGGAATCTATATCACAAACCGATGATAATTATAAAGCCATGTATTTTGTAACACCGAAAAAGAGTCGAACTCTAATCGGCGAATTGTCGGCCCCTAACGTTCCAGTGTCTGGCCTTCAAATGTCCGGTTCAGTCGCACAGCCATCCTATGCATCGGCGCCACAAAATATAGCTTCTAAAGCATATGCATCTTACGGACAATCAGCGCCGCAAAGCAATTATAATTACGATAATAACAATTATGGAAATTCTAAAACATATTCAAATGGTTATTCACAACAGAAGTCGGTTGCGCCCAAACCTACTTCATGGACAGCGCCAGCCTATCAACACAATTCTGGTTATTCTCCTGCTAATAGAGCCCCCGCTTATCAATCAAATTACCCTCAAAGTGGTTATTCTGCTAATTATCCACAGAATAGTTATTCACAACAAAATAGCGGTTATAGTAATGGAAAGAGTGCTCAAAGCTATAATAGTAATAATCAAAACAATTTGGGCTTTAGTTTTGGTGATATAGAGAATGGAAGAGGAGTTACGATGAATGTGGCCGAAGATCATCGCCACTCAAATCCTAACGAATACCATCAGAATCAGAATAATTACGGTAATTCTGGTGGAAGTGGTGCGAGTATGTCATACGGAGGAGATAGTGGCAGTGGTAGTGGTTTTACTATTGGTGGCGGGGATGATGGGGGCGGCGGTGGTATGTCTTTCTCTTTTGGAGGTGGAAATGGGATGAAAGTAAACGTTGGAAATGGTGGCGGCGGTGGCGGTGGTTACCAGTCTAGCGGTTCCAATAGTTATGATAATTATAAGCAACAACAGGGATATGGATATGAAAACAAAGGTTATGGAGGAGGCGCTGGATATGGGAATAATTATGGCGGATATGGAAATTCAAATTACGGCAAAAACTATTACTACGAAGAAAAGCCTCAGTTTAGTCTAACGATGCCATCGATGGGCAAAATGGTGGCGGAGATGAATATGAGGCCTCCGACACTTAAGATGAAGATCAACGCCAGTCCTAAAATGAAAGTCATTACCGGAACCACTGATCCGCTTGAAAAACCATCGCAAGACGAGGAACCTATAATAGAAGACATATTCGCACCGCCGGCTCCGTTTGAAAGGCCACCGAAGATGAATGACACGGATGGCAATCAAACAGCAAACGGCGTTAACGGCACAAACGTCACCGCACCGTATCCGCCGTATCCATATCCATATCCTTATCCATACCCATCCTATCCATACCCTCAACATTATCCGCAATATTCTCAATCATATCCAGGTTATGGACAACAATATCCACAGTCTCACGGATCATATGCTCCTTACCCTCAACACCAACCTTCTCAATACAATTCCCAACCAAACTATTATCAACAAAATCAACAAAATAGTGGACAAAATTACAATTATGCACAAAATGGCTATAATAACGGTCAGTATCCGGGATATGCACCTCAGAGCAAACCAGGGTATAAACCACAGGCACCGGCAACCGGTGCTTATACTAAACCATATTCGGCCGAATCTAGACGTCAAGCTGTTTATGTCAATCCTCACACTCAGACCCGTCGTAACCAATATGTCGCGCCACCAACCGCTCAGTCCATCACCGATACTAATGGTTACCATAAGCCTAATAATTATAATCATTACGATCAACAAAATCAATATTATCAGTATAACGCTTATGACAATCATAACAGCTCTGCCAATCATTACAACCATCAATCACATTACGGACAGGCATTTGATTACAGCCCAAATCCAAGCCATGGCAGTGGATTGGGTTATAAATTTTACAACGGTTCCAACCATAGCACTGGTAATAATCATACGAGTTCTCCATATTATAGTCAAGAGAATTATAGGAATTATTATAATAATTATTATAGAAATTATTACAATAACTATTATAAAGAATATTACGATTATTACAAAAACAAAAGTAAATACAGTATTAGTGGCTATCATGAGGACCGTCTCGACTATGAATTGAGTAAAACTTTTGGTAAAAGTTTGGATAAATATCCCGGAGGAAGCACTAAGGAAGAGAAATCACAGGTTGTGTTTGATGTTAGGCCAAGAGTTACATTTAAGATGCATAACAGATCACATCCAATGGAAAAGCACCACAAAGACCCCTTCTTTAAGACTAAATTCATGGTCATTATGGAGACGACTACTAAATCACCCGATTATGGCTACGGATATGGAGGTTATGGTGCATATGATTACGGCTCGTCCACTACATCGACAACTCCCCGCCCGTCGACTACAACCACAACTAGAAGAACCACCACTACTGAAGCCCCCGAAGAAGGCAATGGCGAAGACGACGACGACAATGGAAATGGAGATGAGAATGAGAATGAAGATGAAGAGGAAGTCTCTTCCACAACGAGTACAACTACTGAAAGCAGTGCTTCAGATGACGATCAAGAGACTGAGGAGGAAAATGAGTCGCCATCTTCTACTTCGACCACTACTACCACTGAAGCTCCTGAAGGAAATGAGGAACCAGAAGATCAGGAACCGCAAAATGGATCAGATGAGGATCAAGAGGATAATTCTGAAGATGTTGAAAATGAGAGCGACTCTGAACCTGAATCCAAACCTATGATTTCGGGATCAAAAACCAAACCATCAAAAAAAGTAAACAACGGAAAGAGTGGAAGCGGTGGAAGCGGTGGCTCGAGAGGCAAAATGCCCAACAATTCTGATAATAATGACAGTGTATTTGACAGCACTTTTGAATCTAATGATGAATCAAAAGATTCAGACAATTGTCGCAAAAAACGAATTTGCGGTAAAGATAAGGAAGAATCTGATGAATCGGTAGACAATGAAGAGCCAGCAAATGGTGACTCAATTGGGGTGACTGTTCCGCCAGAATTGGTGTCAGCGATGGTTAAAGCACTTCAAGAGGCTTTAGTTAAAGTAAATCCTTTGGATTTGCCGTCGACTCAAAGTCCAAAAGAACTAAACAGTGATAAAGATGACGAAGAAGAGGACAATGGAGACGATGAAGAAGATAAGACAACAACAACAACAACGATGACTACAACTACTACCAAAAGACCCAAACTTACATCGAATACAGGTATTAATAGAAACATATTTCAGACAAAGTCTAGAACTAAAAACAACAAAACAGACACAACAAAGACATCAATCAAAGACTCGTCTCTTAAGAGTCCTCTCAATACAAGACGCAAATTGATTCCAACAGTTATATCAACAGTCGTTACAAACACAACATCTTTGAGACTCAAGTCTCCCGTATTAAGTGTCTTATCGCGAACTACTCCTCCTATTCCTACTCCCAGGGCTCAGACGTGGTCGGCGACCAAAGGCGGCCGGACTTTCACTCCGCAAATCACCCAAAAGGACATAAGTCAGCAAAAGGTGGACGAAGACGACGACGAAGAGGATCCCGACACTGACCACAAACAACCAAATTCTGTGCCAATTAACTATAATCAAGTAATTCCCACTTCAAAGCCATTTATAGACAGCATTAGGAATAGTTTTAATAGTTATAATAGTATTAGTAGTGATAGTAATGATAAAAATATTGTCGATAAGTCAAAGACAACGCAAATAATGAGTAATTTTAATATCCATGATCTGACTGATGACGAGCGCAAGAATATGCTCTTAAATATATTTAATGTGATTCAAACCAAGACTGACACTAATATCGCGCAAACAAGTGATTCCAATAGTAATAAAGTTCCCGCAATTAGTGAAACTTCTACCAAACAAACCGACACTTCAAATGATAACGAGAGCGAAGACATTGGAGGCAAAGACGATGAAGAGGAAGAAGAGGAACCAAAGGATAGGGAAAGTAGTAGTGATGACGAAGAAGGGTCTGAAAGCGCTCCTAAACTGAGGATTGTGTCATCGATTGATGAGTTATCGTCGGCTCCGCACGACCCGAAAAACCCGCCCATTTTTGTAGTACTTTTACCCGACAAACAATCCCAAAAACAATAGTTTATAGTTATTTAAAATTTAAATATTGATTAAATATTAAACATTTATAGTCAATGTTGTGTTAATTAAGTGCCAGTCTTTTCAATCAATCATCCATTCGTTGTCATCACAAAAGCCTATAATTATTGCCATTATTTTTATGATTACTGTATATTAGATTTATTCTGTAGAAAATAATTGATATATTATTAAAACTATTAAGTTATCGTTTTATTAGTTTTATAACAATAAAAATGTATTTTTAAAATTGTTTTAACGGAAAATTATGATTGCATTTAACATCACAACTGTTTTGATATGTTGTAATATTAAGCTTATATACTGTATATCATTTGTATTGCCATATATTAGCAATTTATTAATTCAATGCATAATTAGTTAAAAATAGTTTAAGTTTTAAATGAAAACTTGAATATTGTTGGGACACCCCTTCGAAGACCCCTTCGAACTTCGAAGGCGTAACGCTTTATATGAATGAGTGAACGAGTGGTGCAATACATGTGTTTGATTGCATTGATTGTTACGAAACACATAAACAACACATTGTCTCACATCGTGTCTCAAGTGTGCATCCGATCACCCCTTCAATTGATCCCAGCATTCATTTCACTATTAATTACTCAATTATATAACCATATAATCATACCATTGGCTCCACTTTGACCACAACTGGGAAGTGATGTCCGACAAGACGTTAAGCGAAGATATTCTGCGACTATTGAACGAGAGGTCGACAATCAATTCATTGAGTCTTTCCAATGAGTTATCCATTGATCACCAGAAGATTGTTGGCGTCATTAAGAGTTTGCAGTCGTTTGGAGATATCATTCAATGTTCACAACATGAGAGCAAACGCTTTGATTTGACTCGTGAGGGACAACAGATGGTGGAGAACGGCAGCCATGAGGCCGTCGTATGGAAAGCGGTTCCCGAAGAGGGCATTGAACAGACACTTCTGATGAAGTCGTTCACAGATGCAAATGTGGCCAAACTTGGCTTCAGTAAAGCCATGTCTCAGAAGTGGATTGTAATCGACAAGACATCCAATAAACCAATTGTCAAACGAAAAGTGGACGCAATTGAAGACGAGGTTCAGCTTCTGTTAAACCGAATCAGTCATATGGATATCAATGAGGTTTGTATTCACTTATCATATTCTGCCAAATGATTGTCATTTGTGAATGAGTTGTCTGTTTGTGACATCAGGTGAACGAACAGCAGAAACAAGACCTTAAGAAACGGAAATTAATACAAGAAGTGATTGTCAAGAGTTATGACATCGAAAAGGGAGAGAACTTTAGTTTAAACGTTGAGAAACAAGAGACGGATATAACGGGAGAAATGATCGCAAAGGGCTCGTGGAAAGAGAAACAGTTCAAGGATTACAACTTCGATGCGATGGGTATTCCTCCAGAAAGGGGTCATTTGCACCCTTTGCTCAAAGTTAGGCAACAGTTTCGGCAAATATTTCTGGAGATGGGGTTCACAGAAATGCCGACCAATCGATTCGTTGAGAGTTCGTTCTGGAACTTTGACGCCCTGTTTGTGCCCCAAAAACATCCGGCGCGTGATCTTCAGGACACCTTCTTTCTATCTGATCCACAGACTTGTAATGAAGTGCCCGTCGATTACATGGCACGCGTCAAACAAGTCCACAGTTGCGGTGACTTCGGCTCTCAGGGCTATCAATACGAGTGGAAGACTGAAGAGACGCGAAAGAATGTGTTGAGAACACACACGACAGCCATCAGCGCCCGAATGCTCCACGATTTGGCGCAGGAATGCAAAGGCAAGGCCTTCCGTCCCGTCAAACTCTTCAGTATAGACCGTGTCTTCAGGAATGAGTCGTTAGACGCGACACATTTGGCCGAATTTCATCAGATTGAAGGCGTGATCGCAGACGTGGGCCTCACGTTAGGAGACCTGATGGGAATCATTAGGGAATTCTTCCTAAAGCTGGGAATTGGAAATCTTCGCTTTAAACCGACGTATAATCCCTACACCGAGCCATCGATGGAGATGTACAGCTATCACGAGGGACTCAACAAATGGGTTGAAATCGGGAACTCTGGTGTTTTTAGGCCAGAGATGTTGTTACCAATGGGTTTACCACCGAATGTGAATGCGTTGGGCTGGGGGTTAGGCCTTGAAAGGCCCACAATGATTAAGTATGGCATCAATAATATACGGGATCTTTGCGGACATAAAATGGATCTGCAATTGGTTTATGATAATCCCCTTTGCATTCTATAAGTTACTGATAGCTAACAACTATATCAGTGATATTTATTCAATTTTCAAAGCATTTTTTAAACATATTTTGTGATTATTTACATATAATTGAGACCAAATGATAATAAACTATAATTTATTATAAATTAGTTGAAAAACAAATGTGAAAATGACTTAATTTATAAAGTAATTAATTATTGATTGAGACTTAAGATTAATGAGCTATTGTTTGACGTCAATTGCTTGCTTGTGGGCCAAAAAGCTGAACAATTTGATGCCATTTCCTGCGGCCGTCTGTTTTGCGTCCTCTAATTGTTCGGCTGAACCCCAAGACGTGAGAACCGGTAAATCCGAATACGAGATCTCATTGGGTATGATATGAATCATACACTGATAGGTACTCGAAAAGCTGAGTTGAGGGACAGTCAGCACTTTGAACGTACAGTCCAACAGTTTTGTCAATTCTGACAGTTTTGTCAAATAGTCGCTATCGTATCGCAAACCCATTTCAGTAACCGTTTCCACATCAACACAGCTATTGATGAGGTCTTCAATTTTGTCTTTAGTTTCTTCAGTAAAGTTTGTGTAGAAGTTGTCGATCTTCTCCTTCGCGGGAATCACTTTTCCAGAACTCTTGGATTCGATGTAATTCTCGAGGAAAGATGAATCCAAACTCTTGTTATTCTTATCCTACAGTCAAATACAAATCACAAAAACCTTTAAGTATACGTAAGAAAGACATGAAATGCTCAATAATTATTATATACTGCAATATCTTCATTGTCGGCCAGATTCTCGTCTTTGAGCCGTTTGGTCATGAGTTGTGCCGCCTTTCGTTTGGCCAGTCGTTTGGATTTGCCGACACCCGTCTCACTGAAGTCCATGTTCTCTATAATGCACTTCATTTTGAAGATGCGTTCGTGAGGTAAGCCCTCTTCGCTGACCGTCTCATAGAGAGGTGGTCTCCAGTGTCTCTTCATACAGATTTCCTGCAACTTTCCCACAGGATTCGTATCACTTCCCTCTTCGTCGTCGCCGTCGCCACTCTTCTCTTCAATCATTTCGCTCTCATTTGCTTCACTGCAAAAACAATTACGAATCAATGCCTGCGAGTGTTAACTCAAGTGTGAGGTAGACATGGATGAAGGGGTTGTACCTAATATCCAGTTCGCGAAGAATCTCAAGAATTACTTCCGGATTCTCCACCTCATAGTCGCTCTCTTTAATGATATATTCAATGGCTTTCTTTGCGACCGCGTGTTTGGCCTTCTTCTTGCTCTGACCGGTGGCCGTCACCGACACATCTGATCCAAACATAGAGACCAACAAAGCATTAGCGCATTCAAGCCATGACTGGCCAGTACTGGTGACTCACCCCCGCACTGAACGCGGTATATGAAAGTGGGCGCGTGAACGACACCCTCCACAGACAGCAACTGGTACTCCGGTGACAGTCCGTTGTGGGCGCAGATCTCCTGAAGCCGTGAAATCGGTGTTTTCTGTCCATACAATCACATTGTAATCAATAAAAGCATAAATCAATCGTTAAATCCTTACTTCCATTCAATTATATGTAAAACACTTCAATCAAAACTATGATAATTCAATATTTATTAACCGCTTTATTATTACAGCCAAAGATAATCACGTCTTTGAATGCAAACTTTTTATATCACAATTTGTCCCCTTTTTGTGTCCCTTTAACTCACACTTTATTATCGCACTTATAATCACATTATTTCTAATAAACGCGTTATTATTGTTTAGACCTTCAATACTATATTTTGTACACTACTCTATGGCTGTATTCAATGCATTATAGACCACATTGAATAGCATTGCTGTACTTTTGTAACGCTTAATGTGCAACAAAAGAGTACAGCGTTTCCTATAATATAGCGATGTATAGGTAATACTATACGCATTGTGAGTGTGTTTGCGTGAATCAAACACATGCGTAATCCCTATACTGTGTCTATGCGTGCATTCAATGCACACACAGTGGAGGAGAGGGCAGGCATTCACACGGCAGGCATATGTGTCCCTATTATAGCGCATACTATAGACCCCCGAAGTGGCCCAAACCTGGCCTATAGTGAGTGCAGTGTATGTGCTGTGAATGCACTGCATGTGTGTGTTGTGTGTATTGTGTGAGTGAATGGCATAATAGTTTGCGTGACGTTTGTCTGCATACATATCGTGAGCCATTCATTTGGG